TATTGTGAGTTCCAGGTCATACTGGGATCCCAGGCAAAAAATGGAAGGTTCTCCATCTGCACACCTTGATCCCAATTTTGAATTTCAAAAAATATTTTCATCAGACATGTCATATATGTATGACAGATATAAAATCAAATTATGCCCCAAAACATCTTTATGGATCTGAGCTCAAGAAACATTTAATAGAAGAGAAATAGCAGACAAAGACAACCTGATTGAGGTTCTGGGATTATTGGAAAACCAGCAAGGGGAATTTAAAATTAAATCAAAAGAGCAATTAATAGCAGGACATTTTTAGTGGTTTTTTTCATTTACAGTTATTAAAAAGGTTCAAAATGGACACAAAGACTTATGGTACGGAGCAAAGTAAGATAATATATGAATTATAATTGTGTGTGTACTGATGACGAACATGTAATTGCTAAAATGTATAAATTTTGTTGAAATTTAAAACAGAGGAAGAACAGGTTAAAAGAATATAGGAGAAACTGGACTAAGAACTTCAGTTAGCCTTTTAAAATTTGTAATACTGTTGGAAGAAAAATCCATCTGGCTCAGTTCCAAGCTGGGAGAAAGACACTGGAAACTGGAGGCTGATTGGGAAGATGGTTTAATAATGAACAGAAGTGTCTATGGTTTTGATGCAGCTGACAAAATGAAGTTGAGGGGAGGGGGTTATACTTTCTTTGTGCTTTGTATTTGAGCTTCCTGTTCCCATGCAAGAACATGTTCTTTAATATTCTATTGGCTGTTATGGGGGTCATGTAGGGGTTATAGCTGGCTCTATAAGCAAAAGGGGAAATGCAAATCCTAGGTGTTTGTCTGAGCAAATCTGGTCAACCTCTGGCTTATTGTTGATCAATTCCAAGGTTTCTGTGACTTTGAAGTTTGGACTGCTCTGAGATGTTACAATGAAGGAGCTTGTGTTCTGAAAGGCTGTTGGGCAATTCCTATTGTGGCTAATGACTTTCGTCCTGTGTTGGATCTTGGGTGAGGGGCTGATTTTAATCCTATCACTCTGCTTTTGTTAGCTATCAAACTTTACTGCAAGGAGTTTTGAAATATCCTGTCTTGAATGGATTTTTGCCTGCAGTATTTGCTTTGCTTATGAATAGAGCCATCTAGACAGTTGGTTTCTTCTTTCAACAAGCTCTTTACCTCTTAAGTGCTAGCATCTCTAAAAACATTTCTCCGTTTCTCATTTAGGGAAATATAATATTCTGCCTTTTTAATATTCCTCAAAATATTTCATTCTTCTAGAAGGGGGGCTTCCTACAATGCTTTAGTTTTAATATTTTTTGTTCTTATTTCTGTTTTATCTTTGTTTTTATTTATGCTTTTATACCACTTTTGATGTCTTTATTCTAAACCACCCACAGTTACTTAGGTGAGACAGACATTGTAGAAATGTGATAAATAATAGTATACAATGCAACATTTATGTTGTAGTTCTTGAGGTAGATAGTAAGAAGCCCAATTAACAAGTAAGCAGAAATACTCATTATTAATTCTGAAATCAAAGTCTAAAGATCCAGAATGTTTATTTTCTAAAAAACAAGGAAGTTCTTAATTAGGACCCTATATAGTGATCGGTATCCACAAGGTCATATGTCTCAGCAGTGAAAGCAAGGAAATGTGGGAGCTGAGGCTCCTAATAGGCAGAAGATATAATATTGCAGATTGACTTTCCCACAAAAACCAGAATGCCTAGTCAATCGGGAGAGTAAGCTGGAGTTGTTATAAGAGATCGGAGCCACCAAATCATTTCCAAAGAATGTACGGCACTTCAAACCACCTTCACCCAATGAAACTAGCAAGACACAAAACTGTGTAGAGTAACTGAAACAGATCATATTTTTTTTCCAGAATTGCCTTTCAAGAATTTTGAGGCCAATCCTAGTGAGAAGTGCTAGCATTTAAAATGTTATATTAGGAAGCATACTGCCTCCCAGTGGTCTTCTTAATGTATGATATTTTATAAAAGTTTGCTGCAGAAGGAAGAAAGAAAAATACAGGTACACCTTAATGACTGGTTGCTTAGTGACCTGTGAAAGTTACAATGGACCTCCCCACTGATTACTGTATATACTCGAGTATAAGCCTAGTTTTTCAGCCCACTTTTTGGGCTGAAAAAAGCCGCCTCGGCTTATACTCGAGTCAGTGAAAAATTTGTCCGAAATGGAGGAGAAAAAGGGGCGGGGCCATGCCGCTCGTGAATGGCCCGGCGCCCCTGTGAGTTTCCCCTCCCTCTGTGTCAGTTTGCTGCGCAGCGCGCACCGCACCATCCCCCCTCCTCACGTTCTAATGTAATGCAGGGCTGTCTTACGATTCCCCTTCCTCCCCCTCCTGCCGCTCTGCAACGATGTCCCACCTCCTCCTTGTTATGGCAAGCAGCCACATAGCGATGTCCCACCTCCTCTGGTACAGTGATCCAATGATAGGAATCACTGTGCCGTGTGTCATAGGAGGCGGGACATCGCTCCCGCGGCTGCACGGGACATCATCATCACAGCGGGACATCAGCATCATGAGGTAAGTGAAGTATTTCATTGAATACACCGCTAGTTTACTGTTTTTCTTTGAAATAAATATTCAAAAACATTATTGGTATCTATTTTTATTTTTGAAATTTACCGGTAGCTGCTGCATTTCCCACCCTAGGCTTATACTCGAGTCAATAACTTTTCCAGTTTTTTGTGGTAAAATTAGGTGCCTCGGCTTATATTCGGGTCGGCCTATACTCGAGTATATACGGTACTTATGACCTGTTTTCAATGTTCTAATGGCCATATAAATCCATGATCAGTGACTGCGTTTTGAGCACTTGGCAACTGGCTTGCATTTACAGTCATTTACAGTGTTCCACAGTCACATAATTCTGATTTTTGACATTTTCGCCAGTTTCTGGCATGCACTTCCAATTTCCAGCAAAAAAATTCCCTATTGTGGAAATGGATTCACTTAACAATTGGGATGTGTGCTTAACAATCACTGCATTTGCTTTACAACTGCCACAAAAAAGGTTGTAAAATCACCAAATCAATTCTCTTTAGGAAGGGTTTCCACTTTTAGTATAATAGCATAACTAGTTTTTTCAGGAACTATTGTTTGTTCTGCTTTTTCCTTCTCCAAGATAAGCTACCTATTTCTGTTTTGTGTTGGGTCTTCAAGTCAGAGAGAACTGGTGCAGGTTGTCTCCTTGGGGTTTTTAACTTCTGTACACTCATCCAACCATTCGGCTCCTCCTCAAATTTCATTAACCATGGCATGAAGATTACTCAGTTTTTACTTGACACATCTTCATGATATTGGCTTCCACACATACCCACTCTACTGTTGTATTTATCTACCTAATTTTAAAGTTGGGGTTTCCATCATTTTCTGAAATAAATCATGTTTCTTAACAATCTGTGATGGTGACTCATTTAGGAAGTCAGTGGCAACATGATTAAGGACTGGGGATCTCTCATGCTACTGGATTTTTAGGCTGTTGCAGGCAAACCCCTCACATCCAATCACTGGACACTGTCCTCCATGATCAAGTCAGGATGAGTGCAAAGATTAAATCAAAGCCCCACCCTTTTGTCTAGCATATACAGATATGCTGGGTAATGCCTTAATTGCACCATTAGCCATGGTGGCATAGTGGTTAGAATGCAGTATTGCAGGCTAATTCTGCTGACTGTCAGCTGTCAGCAGTATGGCAGTTCGATTGTCACCAGTTCAAGGTTGACTCAGCCTTGAATTTAGTATAATGAGTCTGGCTACAAATATCCAGAAATAAGCAAACAGTTAAAATTTTCTGTATATTTTTGCTGCTATTTGTCATCTTGAGGTTTTTAGCCCAGATCTGGTAACCAGTTTAAACATAGTTTAAAGGACAATCTCTGGTAGAAAGTGAGATGCTTGCAAAGGGGGCCATGTTTAACTGTAATAGGCTTTAAATGCTAAGTTTAACCCAAACCACAAGCCTATGCAAATGTATTTATTTCTTCCCTCAGCTGTCAAAACTCAGCTTGTATTTAGTCCATCACTGCTCAGTTGACATTCATAGTTTCCATGTATTGTACACTTATAACAGAGCTGTCAAACTTGTGGCCTGCGGGCCAGATGTGTTATGTGCTTGCCCCGCCCCTGCCTAGTTTAATGAAGGGGGGGGGGAAAGTCCTGATATGTCACTTGATGCTGCCATGATGATGCGAGTTTGACAACCCTGACTTATAGTATTAGATACAAATTCATGTTGCACATGGGTATGACATTAATTATGTACAATCAAGTTGTTCGCTCCTTCTCTTTCCTTTCTTCTTTCCCAGGATTATGGGTTTCACAAGGGATCAGGTCTTTGCATAATGTATCCAAAATTTGATAATTTTGAGTATGGTCATTTTTGTCTCAAGAGAGAACTCTGAATCAATTTATTCTATGACCCTTTGTTTTTCTCAAACACAAACTAACCAAACCTATTTTAACCTGAAATATTATGCAGATAATATGGTTTTATTCTAAATAGAACAGCTGATGAGGGCCATGACACAGAGCGCATCCATTGAAAAAAGCTCAAAGCCAATACTATTAAATTTGTTTATGAGCTTCTCAAACCCGTCACGTTTTGGGTTAAGCCCAGGAAATCAAACTGTGTTAACTTAATTTACCAATTATGGCTATATATTTCCTGCAATTGTCAGAAACATTATGTGTCTCACTACCATTGGGTAAGAAATATGGGTAGTCGTAAGACAGAAAGAAAGATAAAAGTGCAATGTAGCAAAATGTACCACTTTTGTAAAGCTGGCTACGCACAACATATGTAGCAAATTCATCCCTCATTGTATAAATTTATGTAACAAAACAAAGTAATATAAAATGAATTTTAAAAAGTAATCAAAATGAAACTAGATTCTGAAGGATAGCTAATTTTGACGCTCTTGCTCGATTACAGTACTAGAGGCTTTGCTGAAAGGCAGTAGACTAGCCGACTCCTTAACTCTCCAAGGGTCCTTCCGAGGCAGGAAGAGATCGTATTGCGCATGCTCTTTCTTTTCCAGCTTTCGTCCTGAGAGTGCCGCCACGGTAAGGCCTGGCTCTTATTAGTCTATCCGCCGCGCATCGTCCGCATCCTACGTTTGCACTGACCGGTACCCTTCCTTGGCGCCCTTAGGCACCCTGTTGTTTATTTTCGTTGAACTCGAATTGGTCGGGGAGAATCGAGGCTCGAGAAAAAAAGATGGAACTGGGATGCGCCGTTTGGAAGGCGGGCACTTTATTAATCCAGGCCGTGTCTTCTGAAGAGAGAACGTGGGAACGTTGTGGGGCTCTAGCAATACAGTTCGTCCCCTGCATCGCAACTTTTTTTTTCTTTTTTGGAACATACTGTAGGCCTATCTGCAGTTTGTGTGGTCCTGTTTGCGTGGAGGTTTTTCCCACCCGGAATGGTTAAAAGCTATGAATAAAGATGAAAACTACACTAGAGGCCAACTATAAAGAGAATTGATCCCTATGCAAGTGTATGCTGGAGTTTATAAAAGATGCATGTTATTATGCCTGATGTTTTGTGGTGAATAGAAACTGCCAAGCATTTCTAGTTTCATTGAAACTTCCATCCATGTCCCATCCTCTAGTTATTGCTACTTGTTGTGAGAAAAATATTATGTCTCAGTGTTGGTGATTTGAAATGTAATTATTTCTGCTTCCGGTTAAAACATGGGACATAACGGGGGTCTTCCTGAGACTAATCCAGTCACAGCAGATTATACTGGCCAGTGGTCAAATAATCTTAAACTAACGGTGGTCTTCCTCTGAAGTTTATTTAACTTTGTAGTGGTTGAGATATACAAGTATGTACTTTACCTTTCAGGCTTTTGGCACAGCAATAAGCTAATGTATTAACCTGTGTGATGTTTCTTGACAACTATTGCTACTTTGAACTGGAAAAGAGACTGAAGGTGACAACAAAATCTTTATTTCCCACAGATGTTGATGCCTAAGAAAAACCGTATTGCAATCTATGAACTCCTTTTTAAGGAGGGTGTGATGGTGGCCAAGAAAGATGTCCACATGCCTAAGCATCCAGAACTAGCGGACAAAAATGTGCCCAACCTCCATGTCATGAAAGCAATGCAGGTAAATGCTTATCTTGCCAGCCAGTTAAACTGATCTTTGAATCCCCTTGGTGGCACAATTGTTTAGATTACACCAACACTTTTCAATATACTAGTCCAAACCTTTCTGTCCTTGCAAACCCCTCTTGTTTCCACTATGGCCATACAGTGCTACATATATTCTCTTTTGCTCTTTAAACTGTTTTGGAGTAGCTCATAAGTTTCATAAACTTCCCACTTTATTGGCCTTTCCATCTGTCTTATATTTGTTTCGCTGTTGTCATTCTCTTTATGGCCAAACCAATGCAATATATTTATTTTGTACTGGTAATTCACTTTTGTATTGATCACATTCACATTCGTTCAGCACTCATTCTTTCTTGATCATATCTTGTCTATTTTACCACACATACATCTTAATTCTATTTATTTATATATTTTTTCTAACATACCTAGTTCTTCCTTCTACATAGCAAAGTGGGCACAATTATACTCTTAACATGTAGCTATTTTCACTTTTTGGGGACAAACATTCCTTGCTGCAGACTACAGAAACCACTTTTCTGCCAATACTAGTTCCTTGAAATTTCTCCTATTTTCCTGCTTAAAGAAGGCATTTTACTAAGTATACAGATTTATCTTCTTGCTCTACATATTTTCATTTATGTATAATTTGACCTTCATTTTCCAGGTCAGACACATCTATTGTGTTCTTCAATATGTTTAGGCATTCTTGCATTTTATAGTTTACCTTGGCAGGATCTCAGCTACCAGTATAGGATTATTTATGTACTAAAGTGTGCATAAGTTCATATCCTCAACCATCCTTCAATAAATACCTGTGAATACCTGTCATTGCCACAGGCATTTAGTCTACATCTTTCATTTTAAGAAAGAAAAGTTAATAATAGGGCATGGCTTTTATACTTAAGTAGCACTGTAGAAATAATTCCAGGAGGTACAATACTGTCTTAATCTTCCATGGCAAGCTGATCCTGAGAAAACTTCTGAAGTGGGATTTTAAAAATGCAAACATTATACTCTTTTCTGTTGTTAGCTCTGGTTGGGATTAAGAGGAGACCTTAGGTTTGAAAAAGTTGCACTTTGTGAAGTAGCAATATTTTTCTAATTCTTAAATATACAGAGAAGAAAGAAAGTATTACTTGTTTATAATTTTGCAGGATGTATAGAAGCATGGTTGAACAGTTCAGGACAGAAACCTAGTTGGCTTTAATTGTGTCTTTGAAACATTATTCTTTTCTGCAACAAGTAATTGGTGTGTCTTCCTAGTCCTTGAAATCTCGTGGCTACGTGAAGGAACAGTTTGCCTGGAGGCATTTTTATTGGTATTTGACCAATGAGGGCATTCAGTACCTGCGGGATTATCTCCATCTACCACCTGAAATTGTGCCTGCCACTTTGCGTCGCAGCCGTCCTGAAACAGGCAGACCCAGGCCCAAAGGTGAGTTTTGCTTTGGAAATTTAGAATTTCACTTTGATAGTTTGATTTATTAGTGAAATTTTGATTGCTTCTCTGGAGTTGGTATTTATTGCCAAGAAAAGAAATATTTTGGAAGGGTTCTTTAATTTTACTTAACTATTTATGTTGCATGTCTTAAGAGTTCAAAACATATAATAACAAATCATTAATTTTAAATATTCTTTAATGCATTAAGTTGTAAAATAGTTGACAAAAATTTAAATGATCCTTGAGATCTATTTCCCAAACAAAAATACAAATGCTTACACTACACATTCAGTAAAGAGAGTATTATACCATAAGAAAGCAGGGCAGAAAATAACTGCCTAGAATCATTATATTTGCACTTTGTTCAAGTGAATCATATATATATATATATATATATATATATATATATATA